ATAAATCTGTGATAAACAATAATCAATCATTGGAGCAAAACATTGAATTCCAAAGTGAAAAAAGATTCAAGAAAGATGAAGTTATCATAATAAAACTTATACCTCTTTAAGTGTAATAAATAAATAAGCCATATTTTCTAAAAAGTACTCGTAACTAAGCAGATCCAGTACAGGATTCAGAAAAGATTCAATATTAATGTAGATCATCATAGCGTCTGAGAATGATTTAAGCAAAAAAATATGATAACGTATCCTTCTGAAAATCAGCAGAAAGAACAGGTTGAATGCTCAACTCTGAAAATTCAAGATTTGGGAAATTATAAGCTGAAAAAAACAGTTCAAAAATCATAATCTGAACCGGACCAGGGATTCTTTTGCCTTCGAAAGGTTCAACATCTATTGAAAAATATGTATGGGGTTTTTAATAAAATTACAAGAGAAAGTTGATAAGAAAGGAAAAAAAATTAACACATTCATGGAGAGATTTTTGGAGATAATTTATCGATCAGTGATATTCTGTTTTGTAATAAAAGGGAATGTTTTCGTTTAATAAGAAATTTCTATAAGTAAACATGGAAAATCCCTATAAACTTTAAGAAAACACGCTATAAACTTGTCCTAAATAAGACAATATGTAGTAAATTTTGCAACTGTTTTATTATCTTCTTCCTTATATTTATACAATCATATCATGTATTCGTGCACATTTCTCCTTCAAACCTTTCCTAAACTTTTCAGGTTGCAGATTTTCCCTTTTGCAGTAGCTAACTTTTATAATTTGACAGAAAGATGAATATACAGAAATCTATGTTCTGGGTTTCTCGTTAACTTTTGTTCTTATTTTGTAACATATAATGTCGTAACAATACGTATTAACTGGTTGCACAAATGTATATGTAACTCACCGTAGTTAACCAAAATTTATTCCTGGCTTAATATATATACCTACTTTCCAACACTACATATATTTTGTTTATATTGCATTAATACGTAATAAATTAGTAAACACCAAAAATAGCTAATCAGTCATATAAGGTTCAAGAAAATGTTCATACAATGGCCTAATGTCGTTGACTTGTTGAGTTTATTTTCATTAACATTGTAAATCAGAGGTGCAGTATTTTATTTTTGTCTAAAAATATAAATTGTCACATATTTGTTGAATTCATTTAAGTATTGTCTTCTGCATATCCCTAGTCTACAAATCAGATACATTTTTCATCAAACCGCAAGAGTGAACAATTTTGTTATTTAATATTTTTATTCCAACACACCTCTTTTATGCATCTTGGATCCATTTTTCATCAAAGTCCAACACGTGCCATAATAATATTCATGTCAATGATTATATTTCAAGTTTCACCTATATCCGATTTATATTTCCTAACACGAGTTCAACATTGTATGCAACTTGAAAAATATTA